CCTGGACGGTCAGGTGATGATCGAAGTTCACACGATCCAATAATCACAAATTTGTCAAGGCAATGACGCACCGGAATTTGGGCCGGACTCTCACGCATTTCCGTAATTCAAATACGACGATCCGCGTTCGAAATCCGAGAAACTTTTTTTGATCATGAATACCGCCGCCTGTGTTAGTGCTCTCCTCGGAATATCCACCGGAAAATAGGCTCTCTTTCGTCCTTTCAACAACCATACTTGTATCTGTTTCAATCGGTAACAAAACCCCTGGCCTGGCTGCTTGTTCGGTTTTGTTGTTGCTAGGAGCGCAAGGACCCGAAGAAAAGACTCCAGACGTAAAGGTGAGAGAGGGTGTGCGTACCCAGCTCGGTTCGGGCGGGTCCTGGTGCGGTCATGCTGGTAAAGGGGAATGCTGGGTGGTCACAGGCGCAGACTCATAATATATCTGCGCGCTCGCCACTAGGGTCATTTTAGGGGTTGAGCGGATGACTCAACCAAGGGTTCTACACATAATAGAAAATTTAGAGTGTCACGCAGAGGACGTGTTGAAAAATTACGCGCTATGGGTGATGAAGAGGAGTAGATCCCAGAACAAGGTGTATGAACCGAGTCCAAAACGCACCTTTGTCAACTAACCACGCTAATATTTGATTGTTGGTAGTGCATGATACTGATGCTGAGGCAACAGGGATAGTTTCGTTGACTTCAGCGGGCGTTGAGTTCAGCAACGAGTGAGCTTATTGTTGGCTCAACCGTACGTACGTTGTGATCGCGAGGGCTTGAGGCAATGCATATGTTGGGCGGGAACAACCAAGCCGACCAAACTGGCATGGCTTTTCAACAACTAGTCTGCTGTTTAGAGGGTGCGTGCCTCAATCATGCGGATCAAAGTCGTCGGTGTATGCGCTGCAGGTCTCCAACCTAGCAGTCCGCCGAGCTGGCGCCATTGAGAGCGTACCATCCCGAGGACCAGACTCGCTACCATCGGGCAAAAATGCAACAAAATTGACCTTACGAGAGAGCCGCATCCGCTTTTCCTCCCCGCCTTGAGCAGCGGCGACCGGGTTAGAGCCCAAGTAGAAGACTGAGTATAAAGACCAGACGAGTGTAGACGCATCACGAAATTGTGGTATGACAGGGATGCAATATAAGGGCATATGGCCTATATATATGTGCATATATGTATTCCCTGCTTGGCGGTTTTATCAATCAGGCATATGGATTTACAATCAGGCATATAGATTTGCAATCGGGCATACCCCGATTTCGTGATGCGGTATCGCCAGCGTGCCTCTTGATTGAAGTCTGGAGAACTCTCTACAGTATTTGGGGAATGTATGAGTGTAGCACAACGATCGGACATACCGCCGCAGTGAGCGATTCTCTTGATTAGCATTTGGGTTCGTATTTTTAATATTACGCAAGGAGAAAACTTGTTGGGACAATGCATATAGGTACGTCCTTGAGCTGAGTGCTATTCCCTAGACAATCCCGAGCCCGGATGTAGCGGGGGGGACTTGTGTTAACATTAGCATAGACCTTGTTGTCCCTCTGGTTGATGTCGTTTTATATATTAGGGATGCCCGGAATGATCTTGTGTAATAGCTGTATACGATTGTGTAGGTTACCTTCCTGAGATTTCTTAAACTTATTCTTTGTCCCACGTTGTCCTAGCATCAAGGCTGAGGAGTTAAAGCATGCCTGACAAAAGTATATCGAGTTAGGGGTCGCCCGATTGCGCAGTACATACAAGAATATAGGTGGCGCAGGTCTGAGAATTCCGTCCGCTCTAGCGTAGGTGGGTGGCGCTCAAGAGGGTGACTGTAACCTCCCGAAACACGAGTACGACTCACGGGTTGGGATGAGTAACTAATGGGAAAATCAGGCTTATAAGCGACCAAGAGATCAAATATGTAATGGGGAGTGGAAGACAAAAAAGAGTGCACTGGTGGGTAAGTAAACGAGTTGAGGACTAAGTCGGCAACGCATCGAGCCAGGGGGGCTATCACACAATACAATAGCAGGCGCCGGGCTCTTACCCTTTGTCCACCCCAAAAATGGGTGAATTCCAGGAAAAAGGTATGGTCAATATCGGTCTCGAACCGATGGCCTCCGAGTCACATGACGTATTAGCTCGGCGCTCTAACCAACTGAGCTAATCAACCTTGCAGACCTGGTGGCTTGTGCTATGTCGAAGACTGGCTCAGCTCCGCGAACCGTTCCGAACTGGTATATTCAATGCCACATCCAGGAGACGGAGGACATTGTGTATGCTATATGAAAAATGACTTTAGATGTTAGTCATATTGTTGCAACGAGGTTGCTCATCGGGGAAAGCACGCTGGGTTAACAGGTTTAGAACAAAGTCAGATTTTGATACATATCTAGTAGTACTGTATCCGCTTAGTGTAACATTCACTTCACGAACACCTTAGCATTCATCCTACCCTACAATATGTCTACAGGCTTGGATGTCCCGAGAATAGGGCCAAGAGGCGAAAAGAAAAGAAACGGGTATTTAGCCGAACTGCCGCGAGTAATCGTGGAAAGCGCGCCTTGGCTTGACGCGTTTGGCTTTAGGATGTGGCGGTGGCATAATTTATAGTCCCCCAAGCATGCATAAAAAATGTATTTTTTGAGTAGTAATCAATCCTATTTGAGCAGTTGGAATGAAATTTATGCTGAAATCCCGATACTATTCTGTTGTGACTTTGACCTGTTGAGCAGCGCCAGGCCGACGCCATCTCGGGCGGGGGAGAAACAGTCTTGGTTGGCTGTGAGATTTCCCGAATTTGAGCAGTCACTCCATTGAGTTCAGGAGACGTGTTGCAGGGTCGGAGCACTTTGTACCCACCGTTTCGGTAGACAAGGCATGACCCCTTACCTGAATCCGACGAAGAGAGTCGCTCCCCCAGTCGCCGGTCGTGTCCAAAACTGGCTTCACGACGCTAAAGGTCGAGTTTTTGGATCCCCTTTGATTGGGAGGCAACCGTAGATTCATAGGATGGGCGAGTAATACGGCTGCATGATCCGTAGTACCGGTATTTCGAGAGTAGGAAAAACCTGCCTTGCTGGTTGAAAAGGTAGTACCACACACGCATATATTTACACAGCAGGTAGACGTCAACATCCACACAGCGTCACTCGAGGAGCTACGCGAGCTTGTAGGCAGGTAGTTCTTTTTCAGACAGGAAAGAGCTGGTTTGTAAGAGAGTTTTCATTATAGGCACATCAAGCCAATACATAGCAATGAGACGTCTGAAACGGCCCGTCTCCGCACATTATTCGGGTTTAGTGATCACAGTTCTGGGCGATGACACCCGTTAGCATGGAGAATCAAGAGCACCGCCCACTTACTCTTTACGGAGGACGGACCGGTATATGGTGCGCTTGTTTTGCTTGCCCCTTTTTTATTCTTGCTCGTCATTTCAGTGCAGCCTGCCCACCGTTGTAGACAGGCGCATGACGATCCCATCCAAGCTCAAGTGCTCGGCGAGGCCTCGATCCATCCACTGGCTCGTCCGGTCGATGTTACCAGTCTACCGCGGGTCACTTCAGCGCAGCCCACAATGTGAACGCATGACCAATGTGCGGTAGCTGGGACTCGGACTGCCGCTCGGCGCCGACGAGACACACCGACCGCACCCCCTCGCCCGAAGCATCGTCCTACCAGGCGCACAGAGGGCATCCCAGCGTCGGTCGAGTTCAAGCGAGGTACGCGCTGACTGGTCGGGTCTGGTGCGACGTTTTGTCCAAGCCGAGTCGTCGGTCCGGGTTGCGCTGATCACTACAGGCAGCTGGTAGTATATGCGCAGCGCAGGATGCGGGCAGACCAGGGACCGATGATCGGGTTATAGGCGAGCGGTGCACGTGTGGAGGTGAGTGCTATAAGGCCGTATTAGTCATATGAACTGGCGAGCAAAGGCAATGGGACATACCGGTCGATGAAGGGTCAAGCTAGCATTCGTGTGTGGAACATAGGGGTAGAGAGTAATCAGAAAGAGAAGAGTGCAACGAGATGAAATGAAGAGAAATCAGACAGTGAATAGAGACAGAATAGTTTTATTTGAGGCGGTTTTATTTCGAGATGGTTCTTGTTTTCGTTCGGTTTTGAGGTAGAGTAGAATGTGGTCAAATCTAGGAGATGCATCAGCCGGGTCAAAGGCGCATGTGCGAAGCTGAATGAAAGCTGACGATGATAGCAAAAAGCGTCCGACGCCCAGGAGTGAGCAGGTGGTGGATAGATGAAGCGTTGAACGGTAGTGAATGGATTTCAGCTGGGAGTCCCCAACATGTGAGGGTCGATAGACGGGTTGAGTTGCTAGGGGCGTCTCACCGTTCACCACTAACATAAAAGTCCATGATGTTAGGTAGGAGTAAATAGAAGAGCATGTCGAGTCTGCAGTGATACTAGTCAGTCGAGAACAGTGACAAAACAGTCGATCGGCTCACCTAGGACGGCTCGTGAGTACGTTGGGGGCCTGCGAAGTGTGAACGCATAGCAATGATAGGAGTAGGGATAGCACGAGTGGAGCGTCGGCAATGGTGCCTTGAGCGACGAGAAGAAAAGTGAGTGGGAGGGGTGTGGTCGAGTGAGAGCCTTCTCCTCCTTGAGGCATCTTTTATACTCCCGAACTCCGGTCCTAGCCCCTATCCCTCAAGCCTCCGGCTACTCCTTGCGACCTGCCCTAAACTCTTGGCAGCGGCCCCACCAACACAATTCACCCCTATTCCTATGGATCGGCAGGATTTTGGCTTGGCGCTCCAGGAATAGAAATAGGGGCGGCGCGACGATGTTGGCGTCTGGTTCAGGCTTGTTGTCGAGCAGGTTTTTTGTTGAGCGTTAGACGTGGAGCTTAGGTGCAAAGGGGGACAATCTCCGGTGTGGGGCTAGAGGTGTGCAAAAGGGGAGTGAATATAGTGCGGACAGGTTAGGACCCCCTACTCACTGGGTGTAGCGCTAATCGAACGCGCATACATACTGAGATTCACTAAGATATTTTGATTTATCGGCTCAAGCGATCCAAACTTCAAAGCATCGACCGGTGCAACCCGGTAAACCTCACCCCATGACCTAGTTAAATAGGCTGCGATAAAACTACATTTTTGAGGCGACCGTAGCGAATACACCGACAATGGCCAACGTCGTGTTAAAGGAGATCCTAGCCCGCCATTAAACCTCGTATGAATGCGACTCACTTTCGACCCCAAATGTCGCTCCCGACGCCCCATCCGAGCGCTCCAACCAATAACTCAATGTTCTGCGCTAGCTTCAAGAACGGGCCTTTTGCAGAAAACTCTTGCACGACGGGTGCAGGGATTAGGCCAGTGACAATTCGCCACAAGTTGTCCGCGAGCCACCCAAACCCCGTGACACTATAGTAAACAAATGCCACTGCGTCAACAGATGTCAACATCAACGGATGCCGTTGCTTGTCTCCCGAGGTGTGCTGGGATGCCATCGTGATTGTCTGAAGGAAAAGACTTGCATCTGCCATATCAGACCCCAACCCAAGCGCTGAAATGCGCTCTCGTATTTGTCGTCATTCTCCAGTCAGATGTAGGATATATAGCTGGTGTATTCGATGCCGCATGGACATGGTGTATACTGCATAGATTCGAATGACTTAAACCTAGCCCCTTGGCTTTCAGCCTTCTAGTCGCTCAAAGCCACACCTGATTTGCTCACCCGTGAATTCAAAAACATAGTATTAAAACAATATCAGATTGTGCTTTGTTAATGAATACAGTATAGGACCTCAAACGCGAATGTTCGAATAGGGTTACCCACAAGGGAAAATACGCTAGATCGCCAGGTTTAGGATAGAGTCACATTTTGATACATATCCAGCGGTATCCTTCCGATATAATGTTCGCTACACAAACGTATCAGTATTCGTCCTATTCCATAACATATCCGCTTACTCTCCAAACCCGCCAACGTAGTATACCGCCTAAGAGTACAATACAAGTCAGCCTCAGAAGAACCCAAACAAGCGTCGTACACTTGCCTCTGGGTCGAATCGAGCCCACCATGCGACGTGGGGCGCTCCTTTCCGTCCTGGCACCCACCACTTGGCGTCGGGGTGACGAGCCAAGAAGCATGATGACATTTGGCGCGCTGCTTCGTCGGCTTAAAATCACAAGGCCTTAAATGTCAGCCCACTGTCTTACTAAACGCCAATCGGGGACGTAGGGGAATGAAGGGAGGATACTAGTGCCTAAATTTGGCCGCAGCAACTCGGACTCGAAGTAAGAACGCCGTCCCACTCACCAGAGTATCCAACCAACCGCAAACAAACAAAACCTCGTACTCACCCTCGCTTTCTCCCTCGCCTGTTATGCCATACATCACATTAACCCGACCCATCAACGCAACTCGCGCCGACGCCGCCGGTCCTCGTCCCAAACTGAAACTCCTGCGCCAGTCCCAGTTCCACCAGCCAGCATTCGATTTCGTCATAGGCACCTGACCGGGCTCAGACAATACAGCTGGTGCAAACTCGCCGAGGTAGCCACCCGACTCTCCTGCACGGATGGTAAAGCTGGCGGTATTGCGAGATGCACTTGCGATGTTACGAGAGTTTTGGGAGATTGGGAAGAAGAGGTATGTGAGGGAGCCGTTTTTATGGTAACTGGAGGAAAGGAATAAGGAATGTGAGATTACACTAGTCGGTGGATAATAAGGAAGGCATACTCTGCATAGTACTCCATTAACGCAAAGGGATGATCTAGTTTGAAAATCCATAGTTGGTACGTCAATCGAATAGTGGAACAGAACACTCACTTGCCAATCCTACGTCTCGGAAATCGGCGGGATATACTGTGGCAAGAGTTGCGATCGACT